CGTACTGTGTATGCTAGTACACTGTATGTACACGTGTGGGTGCTCACGTGTTTGTGACTGTGCATGAGAGGGAAGAGAGAGAGAGGGAGGGAGAGGGATGGAGAGAGTGAGAGTGAGGGGAGGGGGGAAGAGGAAATTCTCCAGCCCTGCCCTCTGATTGTGTTCGGTGCTGAAAGGGGGTCCAGCCCAGCCCGGTGGGAGTACACACTCATTCCAAGGGACCAGGGGAAGGAAATGGCCCAGCTTCAGTCACCACCACCCCCACCCCCACCCCCACCCCTACCCCTACCCCGCCTCCATAATTTTTTCCCCCTCTGATGCTGCATAGCATACCACAGACCCAGAGTCAGATAGCAACTAGTGTTCCACACTCATCATCATCTCCTCATTCAGACCGACTCCCATTCCCGCTGTCCTTTCATTTTCTTAATGATTGATGTGAGCAGTTGTTGCACCCCCACTATATTATTCATCCAATATCTTCTCTTCTCTTCAGGCATCTTCTCTCTCCTCACCCCTCAAACACCGTCGCAACCCCACCCCCTTTTTTTCTTCCTTCACTCCACCAGGAACATTTCTGTTTATTCTCCAAAGCTCCAACTTCCTAACAAGGTAAAGCCTAACCCGGGCTCTTTGTGCTCGTCGCTTTCACACCCAATATGGAAGTCCTGCTTCTTCCCATGTGGCTCAGGAGTGGTGTTTACCGGGGACTCACGTGCTGGAAACGGCACTGGACATCGTCCCGATGGACAGGCACATGGCTTTAATGCTTATCAAGCAAACAGCCACGTATGTTTGAATTTCATAACCAAGAGAGCATTCCCTGTGACTTATGTCACATCCAGTACGTCAAAAATACTTTGTGCAGGCCTCAGTGAACCTTCCTTCTCCATTGGTGGAAGAAGTATGCAGATTCTTTACTAAGGGTAAAATAGTAATACTACAGAGTGGAAATGCTGTAGTATACGTATTCAGAATATCACTCAGGTAAATGTACTTAAAGTATCAAAAGTGATGAAAGTCCTCATCATGCAGAGTTGACCCTTACAGTGTAATACTGCATTTTGATACTGTATAAGCAGCATTTAAATGTAGCAGATGAATGTGGAGCAAATGTTAAATACTTATTATGTTCTTTGGTACTTTAATTAACAGTAATGGATCCTTCTTTTATTTATTTTTTTATGAAGGTATCACATGATTTGTACGTAAAATCTTAAAGGGCCTGCAGATTTTTTCACTTCTATTGTGGCACTGTGATTGGTTTGACATCTCACTCAGCCTCTGCTGACTGACCGTGAGTCTCTCTCAGGACGGAGCAACTCAGCCAGTTATCATTCTTAGTGCAGTTTGCCGATATCATGTGTTTCCTAGTTTACACCTGACTACGGGTCAGAGAGAGAGAGAGAGAGAGTGTGTATGTGTATGTGTGTGTGTGTGTGTGTGTGTGTGCGTGCGTGCGTGTGCGCAGCAGTAACTAGTAACTGTAGTTGTAGAATAAATGTAATGAAAAAGTACAATATTTTCCTCTAAAATGTAGTAAAGTAGATGTATAAACATAAATTGGAAATACTCAAAGTACAAGTACTTCAAAATTGTACTTAAGTAAATCTACTTAGTTACTTTTCACCACTGCCATTCTTGTGTCGTACCATATAATAAAATGTAAAATACTTCTTGTAGGTCCAATTGTGGTCATTTAACACTTTCAGTTTGTTAGCAGTTCAGATAATCAGCAATTGTAGCAGAAATGCCAAGTACAGTGTTTTATATGATGAACAGACTGTATTAATATACCACAGCCGCCTCTCGTTCACCTGTTTGGGGCTCAGACTCATGTTGACAGGAGGAGCTGGGAATCAAACCATCAACCCTGTGATTACTGAATGACCCGCTCCGTCTCTTAAAGCCAGAGCTGCCCTGTAAACACAGACTATACTCTCTATCATAAAGGCTCCGTATCCACCTTCTGCACTAATCCCAGGCGGACATCTTTGTGTTTTGGACTTTCTCACAAAACAAGGATTTCCACTGCATCACACTGAGCTCTGGGAGATTGTGATGAGGATTCTTCACTATTTTGTGACATTTCATATCTCGTCAGGAGAACTGATTAATCACTCAACCGGAGAAATCATCAACTTGTTAATTGGCAGAATTGAAAATGAACTTTGTGGGTTGGAATGAAACGAAATGCATTTGTTTTTTGGGATAAACAGTTGATCAGAAAAGTGAAACACCATCCTCATTCACAGTCCGCTGCTCCAGACTTTGTATAACTTAATGTGTTCCAACATTTTTGTCTCAGTCTGGAGTCGCTCTCTGCCCCGGACTCTGTTCGGTTCGACCATGGGAACTCTCTCCGGAGGACATGGAAATGTGTATCCCGGTAGGATTTCACTGTGCCACCCACATTTGAAGGCCTCTAATTAAGAAGTCATACTGACTTTTAAATGTCACCCCCCGAAATGCAAATATAGACCTGCGAGTGCTTAAATAGAAACTAAGTGCACCATGATGTAATTACACATTTGGCTCAAAAAAAGGAAGCTTCTCACTTTCCCCAGTTTCAGCACATATGCTCTCCTCGTCTACCGGTTTATTAGTGGAGTAGACAGTTAATGCATGTTGCATCTTATGTGCTAACAGTGAATGTTATTTTTTCTGTACATCTGATATAAGTTATAGTATCAATAAATGAGGAGTTTTATTAGTGACATGTCAATCAAGTAAAACATGGCTGCATGTGGGTTTCCTAAATACCAGTCTCCTCAAAATGAGTAAATAATGCTGGTGTCTCTGAAGAAAGGAAAAGAAAAATGAATCATGGTTGGATATGATTCAAGGTCTTGTGGCTGTCGGCTTGACCCGTAGCTGATCTGAACACTTAACCTCTGACCCTGGAACAGGCTAAGGTCTATTTAAGGTTTGCAGTGCATCCAGAAAGTATTCAGACCCCTTTAATTTTGTTCACATTTTGTTATGTTGCAGCCTTATGCTAAAGTAGTTTAAATTAATTTTTCCCTCATCAGTCAACACTTAATACCTCATGATTACAAAGCAAAAACTGGATTTTTGACAGTGAAAAATGATGAGGCCTCCATAAACTACCTAAATAATCAGATAAACACTTGAAATGTAGCTCAGGTTCCTCCCATTTCTCTTGATCATCTTTGAGATGTTTCTACACCTTGATTGGAGTCCACCTGTGGTCCAATCAGCTGATTGGACATGATTTTGAAAGAATCACCTGTCTTGTATAAGACCTCACCGCTGACAACAGAGACACAAGCCATTCTCTCAAGTCTCTCCTTTTTCCTCGTCTGAATCTTCATTGGATCGAGAGGGTGGATCTTTGGAAGTAAACAGTAGAGCACGTGGTTTGCAGAACAAAGGGTTTGAGGGCTTTGTTTGGGGAATATAATGTGTGATTAAGGGACATACTGCACATCAAAGAGAACAAAGTTTTTAAGAGGCATATCTGAGGAAAGAAAGATTACAGAGATGATAAGGTTCCTAAAACATTCGACTGATCTGCACTTTCACACAATGTGGGGACTGGCCTCCTCCCAACTTCATATCAGTGACTTAACAACTAATCACAATGGATATTACACTTGCTTTGAAAAATGTGGCTTGAGACAGGAAGAATAACTCATTACATAAGGTGAAGCGTGTTCCAGTAAAAGCATACAGTCGTCTCTTTATTTGGAAAGCCCATACCTCAGCACACTGAGCTGTGTTTTCACTCTCTGTCCTGCGAGGGGGATCTGACAATTTATGGACTGACACTCCAGGTGCTCTCCCCTATTGACCCTTATTTGTAGACGCAGTGGGAGTCTGCACAGAGGGCTTGAGGGTAGAGGGGAAGCTGCAAACAATGTGTTGAAATCCTGTTAGCTAAAAAACTTTTTTAATCTTATTTCACTAGATTTTCTAGGTTTTTATGAATTCAGTCTCAACTCTAAACCACACGTAGGCTAACATCGCCTCCTTCTAATGAATGGAAACTTTAGGCTGTTGTGTTTTTTAGCCGTGCTAACATCAATGTCCAGAGTGAAATTTCTTCACAAATACTGAATTAAATACCTTGAACTTTTGTACTTTGTTCCATTGGATGAACTATAATAACTTTAGTGATTCCTTGACTTTTCATATGACACCATCATCAGATCACAACTCAAATTTTTCCACATGCTGGTTAATGTACATACCTGCTAAATTACTGCCATAGAGTGCTACAGGGATGATTTATTTTTGTGGGCCAACCTGGATGTTAGTTTCACCCTGACCCTTTTGGATTACTGCAGAAAATAAACTCTGTGACAAACAAGAGTTTATGATATCAACACGTTTTGTGCAGCAGGATCATTTTAACTAATGATCATCACTTTTGTGATGTTTGAAGCCTAAATACTAAAAACAAACTACCACCACGATCACATGACTTCTATGTCACCACCGCTTAACTTCCAATTTATAGTTTGATTTAGCTCTGACCTCTTCTACTAAAGCCAAAGTAGAAATCAGAAGTGTGAAGTGGAGAGTTGTATATTGAGAAAGAGAGAAATAAAATATCTTGAATTACAGACGGGATTAAAAGTTGGTCAGTCTTTTGGTGTTGTGAATATAAAATGTTGAACGTTGTCATTCAAATAGTTGTTGACTCTACTATTATGTTATATGTTTGATGTAAAGCTGCTCACAGTGTTTTTCAGAAAAATGAATGAAGCCTTTGACAGGGAGCCAATGTCCTGAGAGCACAAAGATAACACTGGGCAGCATTAGCCCGCTAACAGCAGATGATATTTGACTTTGACCGCAGAACAAACACTCTGTGGAATTTGAATGAACCTCTTGCTTTTTCATACCTCCTTGACAACTACTCAAAGTCATGATTCAAGCTGAACCACACTGTTTGGATTTCTCCTCAGTGTTTGGGAGATTTTTATGAACTGTAAAGTTAATTTCATTTTTCCCCCTTTTTCTGTTTTCTCTAGTGTGCCGAATAGCTTGCCACAAGAAATGTGAAGTCAAGGTAAGAATCATAATATTTTTTAAAAATGTTAAATTATTATTTTTTTTTACTTTAACATGTAAAAAGTGTGTGAGAGAGGCTTCCAAATAATCTGAACACACTCCAATCCACGTGAGTTTATTGGGAGGAAATATTATGTTTTAGGCGGAGTCAGCTACTCCTCAGGATGTGTGTGTTTGTGTGTGTGTGTGTGTGAGAGTGTGTGTGTGTGAGTGTATATACATGCAGATGTTGGGGTAGGTGGAGTTTTGGGAGTTTATGTTCTGCAAAAAATCTTAAGAATGTCTAAACAAGTGCTCTTTGTACCAGAACGTGTTTAGATTGGATGAACCCTTGCGTTTTGGAGATTGCCCTGTGTCTAGAAATAAAAGACCTCTGGATGGAACCGTCGCCTGATTCATCTTGTTTTGGGAAGGGCAAAGAGCACGTAGAAGAAAACGGGAGGGAGAGCGCTGGAGCTGAAGTTCCTGCAGGGTTTTTTAACGGAGGGAAAGTCACGTGTTTTGTGTGTGCAAAGGTACAACTGCCATATGGGGTTTATTGTAGGATTTGCACACGAGTATGTGAGCACACACATACAAATGCACACCTATATATATATGTATATACACACACCCTTCATCTGGTATCTATTATAGAAATGGGTCCTACTTGCCAGCTTTGCCCCCTCTTTTACTCACAGGAAATGCCAGGGGCAGACAGGCCACACTAAATACGAGGTGTGGGCTCTGGTGAGCCATGTAGGACGGGCCTCCAGTGGAAAGCTATCAAACAAAATGGCTGAAATGATAAGCCCAACCCATGCAACCTTGCCCCATTTGACCTGGCATTGTAAATTTAACAACTGAAAGTGGAAAAATTTAATGAATGGGTTCATCAAAATGACAAAAAAAAAAAAAAAAATCCACTAACTTTCAGTGGTAAGCATGCCAAGTTAAACATTTTTATTTTCCCAGGTGTTGATATTTCCATCTGAGATTCCTGGCTCCGCTCATTGGTAGCATTTTTGTGAATGAAACCCATCTCATGAACATGCACCGGCTCGGGAAGACGTGGCATTCATCAGGCTGTGCCGTTTGAGCAGAGTCTGGTGAATCTAAGCATCTGTACCTGTGGAGCACCTGCACAAGCAAAAGATTTAGGATAAGAATCTGAAAATATTATTGCATGAGGCCTTTTGTCTGGTCTTGATTTAACCTTGGATTTATCAAGTTACCATTTTTATCAATCCTAACAGTGAGCAAACTGCTTTAGAGCTAGCTATCTAATTGAGCTAGCTGCACAACAAGGTATGATGAGAATATTAAATTACTGAAATCCTGCTGACACTAATATTTACAACCAGTAACTTGTAAAAATTAGAGATGATTAGTGACTCGTGTCTCCTGTTAATCTTTTCTAATCTTTTCTTTTACAAACCACAATTATTGATTAATTAACAATTATTTCCACTAGATATTTTGTCCCATGTTAGTGCTCTATTTGGGGACTTCTGTGTGAAGATGTTGGTGATTTATTTATGTCTGCAGTCCCCTGTGTGAGTGCTGTGTGAATAGAGCTTATTGAGGATAAATATAGAGCCAAAACATAGGGTGGAAAATGTCCTTTTTCCTCTTTTTCCACAACAACCCACTCAAATTTTTATGTTGCCGTTTTGAAGAACAAAGCGTGATGAATGAAAGCGTAGGCGACGGGCTTTGTCGATAACATTTGGATTTCAGGAAGCCAGAGGTCAAATCAGCTGGGGAGAAGACGTTACAGGAGCACAGAACATACTCCCAGTGTCTTTATACACAAAAAAAGCGAAACTTTCCATCTCCAAAAAATCACAGCAGCATTTCCTTTTGTAAACATTTCAACCGAAATATGTCATCGCTCTGGCAGGAAGCAATTTGCTAACAAGCCTGAGATGAAAAACAAGGGAGTGACCGCGACAGGGTGAAGCATGATCACTGCTGGCACACAGTCAGGCCTGTGAGACCAGCGGGTACATTTTAAACCAGATTAAGCTCTTTTCTATGGGCTGTCAGTCATATACAGTATGATCTTCTGTTGCGAATCTAAACCCCCGATACTAATTTTAAGCTGGGACAATTTTCCCAAGTACACAGTACAGTTCTAAATCTCTGTCTGAGGATAACATGTGGCCCATATTTAACCTGACCGCTGCAAACAAATGGTCAGACCTGTGTGTGAACACATGTGTCCCCAACCCCTTAGGTGTTTACTCACAGCTGGATGTGAAAAATGCTTTAAATCTTGTCAGTAAAATTTCACTTGTGGGTGATGACAGGAAGGAGCCAGAAAGGGTGCATTAGATCAACTTGGGGGGGGGGGGGGAAGACAAGTATAATTTCCGTGTACATTTTTCCTGCATATGGAGTAACTTTCCATTCCTACATCCCTGACTCCGTCACGTCTTCTTCCTTTGCTCAAACTTACTTTCTAAAAAGGAAAGGGGCAGGATGTCTGGGATTTTCTTGCTGTACTGCTGTGAAAGCATTAAGGAAAGGTAAAACCTCTGACTACTTAAGAGCTTATAGTCTGCTCACGCTAATTTCAGTGTAATAGCAGCCATGGTAGAAGCTCCCACTCTGCACCTACCATTCAAAAAATGCAACATCAGTAGATGTGGTAAGAGTTGCGTGCACTGTTTTTGTAGCGTCACTGAGGTAAACCTGTATTCAAATCTTTCACTGTTGTGCAGCAAAACAGTTTCCCTTTGTGCTGGAAAGCGATGCAGCAGATTTCCCTTTCAGTGACTTACAATATAAACATATCATACAGTATAATATGTGTCTCCCACTCTTAATGGATGACAGTGATTTGCTAACTTGCTGTTTTTTTTTTTTCACTCATGTTGCACACAAGTCAATTTCCCTACTGCGAGCTAATGTGAGTCGCACTTAAACTCGGGAAGAAGCTGAGTTGCTGAGTAGAACCAATCGGAGTGTGTTTTGAGAAGGAAACTACCCCGTTCCACCGCAGATGAGTAAAGAGCTCTGAGAAAGCAAAGTCTAGGAAAACGTATTCACTGTCGCTCCACTAGTTTTTCATTCTCTGCTCCAAAATGATGAAGCATTTGTTTTCATTTTTCCCAGCTTCTGAATTCTCAGAATTCATGTTTGCAGTGTTTCTTTGTGCTGGCTGGCCTCCAATGTGTTTGATTGTTATTTCAGAGTTGTTATTTGCGACCCCTTCAGTTCCTTTCACTGACCACAACATGTTTCAGTTGGAGAACTGTTGTTTGCAGCTTGCTGATGGACACGTCCTCGTGTACGCCAAATGTAAAGCTGTGAATTGCTCCTTTGTGTTGCTGTGTGTGGTAACAGTCTTCGTAGCGCTGGTTCTTAAGATGTCTCTGAATCATTTCATGCTCCACAAATATCTTTCGGTTGCAGCTCTCGGCCTCTTTTCCATCATTGTCGCACACTGATCCATCTCTTCCATCATTACAATATTAAAAGAATTAGTTGCATTGAAAATAAATGTATGAATTTAATCCCTTCAAGGACCTTTCAGGATAAAACGACATACCTCTGAGTTTAAGCTAGCAGTCATTCTAGCACTGTGTGCACATCAGTGGCTATACCGTCTCCCAACATTTTTAACATTTCTGAGTGATCACCTGGAGATATTAAGTTCGACTGAGAATAAGGCAGACCATCCATCTTGTAATATTTATTGCCTCCATGTAGCTGACACATCCAAACACCTGTATCCACCCATGTGAGGTGCGTTCTTGAGAGGGAACATCGGTTCTGCATCTGGCCTTCCCCTCACCTGGTGAACACAGCTTGGATTTATAATGATAGAAGGTTACAGTAGCTGTCTGGTCAGTCAGGCATTAGAGATACCATCCAAGTGACAGTAAACATAGACTGAATTAAAGATCTTGAAGTAAAAACTAAATCCCTACCAGCCCAGAGGATTCTGTTCCGTTGTTGAACCTGACCTTTGACCTCCCTGTAGGGCTGCACCTAAAGCTTTCTTTTATTTTTTGTCATTTGCTGATTACTTTTTGAATTATTTGATTATATTATTTAATCTATAACCCTATAATCTATAACTCTAACCCTAATGTCAGAAAATAGTGAAAATTGCCCAGCATAAATTCCCACAGCCCAAAAAAGATGCAAAATTCAATTTACTAATTAATGATCTAAAACAGAAGAACAGCAGCTGATCCTCACATTAGCTGTGTCCCATTTCAGGGGCCACATCCTTCAGAGGACTCGGTCCACAAAGACGTGGCCCTTCATGGTCGCCGTAGACCGCGAAGGTCTAATCGAAATTAGTTGGTCTGGCATATGGAGGATTTTCAATTTCCATCACCAGCTGTGCCCGCCCTTAGTGGCTTCTGTTACCTAGCAACCTTTACAAGACGTATCTTTTTTTTTTTTTTTTACAGAAACTTGAGGTTACCAAAGCTATTGAGAAGCTGCAACCAGGGAACGTTCATGATTCCCAAAGGATGAAGCCTAATAACCTGCGTGATCCTCTGACTTTTCCTCTTGCGTCACCATGGGGCTGACCGTTCTGGTTTTGAGGGAAACGCCTCAACAACTATTCAACAGTTGTTTGACATGAAGTTAGATACATTCATGTTCTCCTCAAGATGACTTGTAAAACCGTCATTAGGTCAAATTTTTTAATTTGCACAAGACTTATTTTGTTCTGTTATGAAACACCTGCAAAACAAATAACATTTCCACGAGCCTCTGCTGTACTTTTAGTGTAAATTAGCATGTTAGCATTCGTTTGCGCTTAGCTCAAACCACCAATGTGGCCAAGTACAGTTTTACTGCTGCTAATATTGCTGTAACTCTTACTTTTTTGCTTAATAAATAACTTGAACAATGAATTGGTGATCTAAAATGGTTATTGATTATTTCTACATCGATTAACTAATCATTTCAGTACTAAAACTGCTACTTTAAACTTTGGTAACTTGTAGCTTCTATGACTTCATGTACAGAGGAATCTGACAGAAATGTCCC